AGTCTCCCAAATCCCCAGAAATGCTGTAACCATCACATTTTTGCACTCTCTATAAAATGGTATTGATATTTCCATTCAAAGTGCTGCTCAATCAGGAAGGGACTCAAGGTTTTGGGTAACAAATGGGGATGTCTACCTTAAAATTCTGGCCAGGTTAATCAGCTAAACAAGGTCACAAAATAGATTTGTGTATTTGTACATGGTCATCCATACTTCTGTTTGCATGATCCCAGATGCAGCCCCTGGTAACTAGTGCTCTCTTGGAGCGTGCCTTGGGACAAGGCAGGCCAGGGAACACTACCAGTAGCCACTAGAAGTGAAGCTACACTGTACCGGTGAGGGAGTTTAGCTCCAACATGAGTCACAGTGTACCACCACGTAGTCAAAAGATGGGCCCTAGCCCATTTGATTTAATAGATTAGATTATGGCCTGTGACATTAATGGCATACCTCTCAATCTAAGGGAAGGCAAATTAATCTGTTTAATCTCAGCCCTAACATGCAACCGCATCTCAGGCCCCCTAAACTCCAGCTGGGGACAGAAGAGCAGACATCACTGTGCCCAGCATGCCCAACTAAGCAGCATCTGAGGCACACACCTCTGCGTTCACTGGCTGGTTCTTCAGCACACTTAATATGCCCTGCCCTTGCAAGTAAAGGAAACCTACGTTATCTACCTCCCGCAATTTCACTGCCTCATTCAGACCAAGCCCGTAGTTGTAGGTGTTGTGATGTAGTTGTAGGGGACTATGCAGCTGATTTGCTCCAAATCACACTATCACAGAGCAGCCAGTGACTCTTCTCCAATTCGCAAATACGCTATAGAGAAGAGGCAAGTACTAAAACAAGGAACAAGGTCACAGGGCTAAATAAAGTTCCCTAAAAAACAGGGAAAACATTAAAAAGCTACAGAACATCTCACAAAAAGATGTGATTTCTACCCTATGAGACACAGTAAACATAAGTCACCAGTTTTGTCACAGACAGAACTGTGGTACTGCGATTGATGTAATTCTGATCTAAGTCTCCTAAAGATCATGCTACTTTCCCCCCTTCTCCCACAGTCTCTGAGCACTCAGGACCAGATCCTAAATGTTCCCTTGGCTTCAGAAGCGAAGCTATGCCACGAAACACAGCCCACAATCAATTTTTAAGAAATTATGTCAAAAAATAGCCCTCATACTTTTAGCGATATATTCCTACAGCAGAGGAGATCGTTTATTTTACCAGCACAGCATTCTGAAAGATTTCTGTAAGGCTTACAGGAGAGTGCAATGCACGACAGCAAAGAACTTCAAAACTAGAAAGCTTTCATATCTTCACTTCCCATCAGTAAGCCCATTCACGACAGTTCAGTGCTCAGAGGGATCAGGTCCTAAGCTATTACAAAGCATAGGGAGCAAATGGTTCCTAGAGTCATCTGAGAACTTTAAAAAAAAAATTCAATGGAGAAAGAAGATGCTAAACTAATGACTGCCTAACACATTTCTGTATCATTCAGTGGTGTGTGATGCTTTATTTAATGTGAGAACGTACAATGACTAATACACCGCTATATCATTTCTGGAGATCACAGTTCTAACGTTTCTTGTTGCTGCAGCTTGCTTTCTAAAACCTGTCTGGACGATGTCAAGTCACACACAAGTTTAATTCCCTCTTCCCCATCCCCTCAGACTTTAACAAGTATTGCTATGATTTTGTTTTCATTAAAAGCCTCAGTGGTATTTATATGTAGCATTCTCGTTCAGCACAGGAGGACCCAAAGGTGAAATCAAGAAGCAGATGACTGTTCACCACAAAATGAGTAATCATTTATGTTCCAAGCTAAAATAAATACAAACAGAAAGCTCACTGTTCTAATGTCTTCATTTAGCAACTTGCTTTTTTTTTTTCCTTTTAAATACAGGTTTTGTAAAAACATTTCAAGCCTTGTGAATGCGCATTTTATTTTCGTTTTCTTTGGAAAGCCTGAAATGAAACATCTATCCTTTTAACTTGATGTCTTCACTACTTGCCTTTCCCAGTGGCACAGGGGTGATGGTTATACTCCTCCATTACATATTCTGGTTTAACCACACAACTTTTCAAAACAGCCCCACCACTAAAATGAGCTGCAGCTCTAGATTTACACTCCCCATCACCATCGCTTACAGTTACCAATGAACAATTTCACTTCTAAGCACACACGTTTCCGAACAGCTGAAGTGCTCCACAGTTTTCTGTGTTTTTCTTATTATAACTAGCTCGTTCATTTCAATGGCATCACAGTTGAGCTCAAGTCTGAAACGCAATGCTCCACCTAGGGCAAGTGCTTATTTTTACTCAAGTAATTACAGAAAAAAAGTTGACACTGACATTTACCAAAATATTTCAGAGCACAAACATCACCCGCTGAGCTGAACATGAGAATTCATGCCTGCTAGTCTTGTTTTTCCCCTCAGAGTATGACTGATTTGACTCATGCCTGACTTCAACAAAATTTTCAGGTCTCTGCTAGAATTATAGTTGGTAGGAAAAACTGCTAAACATGCAGCTGAATTTCTCTTCCGCGCCCACGTTACTACTTGTCTCTGATGAAAGGATACAGCAGGACATTCTACACCATTTCAGAGTATTTCATAAGCTAAAAACCATACACTTTGAAGGAAAATTCTCCACTAATACAGATGGAAGTCTGCAAGGAACCGCTTTCATTTCTCTCATAGACAACCCTAAGAAAATCCCAGCTTGGTCCCCCAGTCTAATTTGGATGCTTCTTGCTCAACAGCATTAGCAAAGCAGGAGCATTGGTCCTTTGATACTGAAGCTAGAGCAGGAACGTTGCTCTGCCTTCCAACAATCCCACTTACGATTTGGTTACTGGTCATGACCCCGTTGTTTATTGTGTAAATGAATCATAAGAATTACTGGAATTCTTATAAATCCCAAGTAAATAAAAGGGGAAAGAAAAGCCCACCTGTAATCAGACACCATGTAACTGCATGTTAATGGACTGCTCAGCGCCCTACTGGGATAGGTTAGAGAAATGCTAAAGCATTACACTCAATTTCAAGAGGCCGGTAGACGTTTTTAAATGAATAAATTCTATTTATATAATTACAGTAATGACTACAGTTCATACCTTATGCACAGCAAGTAAAAAAAAACCACACTAGAATTTATGTAAATATTACTAATGTGTACACTATGAAAAAGCAATTCATGTTAATTAAAAAACACCTTCATTTTAAAAGTTTACCAGAAACAGTTACATGGAGCATTGCAATCTTTGAAAGCAGAACAGAAGTTGCTTACAAGGATCCAAGAGTAATTGATATCCAGCTGCTTTGGGGCTGGGCTGGAGACTGAACGCGTACTGAAAGCTGGGCTGAAATCCCCTCTCGGTTGATGGCAGCAGCAGTCATGCTGCTGTTTTCTATGAGCCTGGAATTCCACCCCAGTCTTTACATTCTTCGTCGGTTGTAGTGGAGCAGCCAGAAGAAAGGTGATTAGAGAGCAGCCAAGTAGACTCACAGTTCAAGAATCCAATCTTCAAGCAGCTGTGAGGTCTAGGGGAAGGAGAAGGGGGTTTATAGCGCAGCTAACACGAGTCTCTCTAAAAATGGGAAAAAGCGGCCACTTCAGTAGCAGAGCTGATGACAGGATACTGAACACCACTCATAGAAAGAAGTAAATCTGAGGTTCAGTCCTTGGTGAAGACACCATCGTATTCGCCTTTGACTAGAAAGGAAGGCAAGCATAGCACGTGAACGTGTGAGTGCATGTATCGCATGCAAGTAATTCCAGGAGCGGAACAGTTTCTCTGCATACATCAAGACATTGCTAAGAAAAAAAGTATCAAATGTTTTCAGCGCTTAAAAAATTGGCTAGATTAATTTAATTTCAAATGCAACTTTACACATTCTTGATAAACAGAAAGGCCTCAACATTGAAGATGAAACATTTTTAGCACCAACTACTGGCTTGCAAGTGAATATTTATTTGCAAGAGATGAGTATAGAAAGACATGTCGTCTTTCACCGAGAGGCATCTTGTTTTAAGGCAATATCCAAAACGACAACATAGCCACCGCAGAAACTGCTCCAATGATCCCTGATGCTTTATGGCACCCACACGGGTCCCATTGCTGACGGAAGGTAGGAACTAAATTGGCGTCTGTCCTCCTCCTCCCCGCCATGTGCCCTGAACGCTGGAAATTTCCGACGTTTGTATGTCACTACTTGTCATAAAGCAAACTAGTTACTTCCTGTATCCCCTAAAACCCTCTGTAGCCATTTACATTAGCCATACTAACCACTATCAGTAGCAAGGAGGATGCTGAGGAATCGCCGTCTTTCCTTACCTCTAACCCAATCAAAGAGTTGTTCAATACAGCAGCGAGTGTTTTCGCAATTAATACGAACGGGAGATCCCCAGAAGGGATCTCAAAGGACTGTAGGCAATCCAGCCAGATGTGCTACTGCAGCACAGAGCACCCAGCCTAGGGTTGGTTTTTCTTCTTTGCTATCAAAAAGGATCAGTTTACTTACTTGCATCTCCACTAAAGGGAATTTTAGGAATGGAGACAGCAACTTCTGAATCTATCAAAGTAAGAGGTAAGCAGTTTGTTCTCGATACCCGTCACTCTGTGGTACTCCATCATCAATTTTTATTAATAGTTACAGCACCTGGGTATGCAGCTAAGAAATTGAAGAACATGAAGGATATTACCAGAATCGCTTATGGCTAAAGGCAAGGAACAGAACTGCATCGCAACCCTACTTTTTCATGATTTAAAGGTGTGTTAAAATGTACCAGCTGAGATTTTCAGGAAATCTGTTATTTGGCTTACATAGTAAGCTATGCCTTGTGCACCGTGTTCTAGACAAAGTTGTATTTAAAAATGGCACACAAGGTTAATAAACTAATTTACGCGACGCCGATGAGTAACCTGTGCTTTCATAAATACAGTAGTATACATCCTATGTACAGATGCTGGCCGCGAGCCTCCGGGAAGGCTGTCAGCCAGCCATCCACAGAAAGAAGGGAATAAAGATAGTGGGGAGCGTGGTGGAGGGCGCCAAACCTAGGCAGACTATTGATGCTAATCCCACAAGCACTGAAGCAAGAACACTCCTCTGGTCCCGAATAATCATCTTCACAGTCTCACAGAACTGAAAAGAAAGGAAAAAAAAAAAAAAAAAAAGGAAAAGATGAGGGTTAAAGAGGAAAGCTTTAACGGGACAGCTGGAGATGCCCACTCTCTCCGTTACAGACTAGCAGTTAGACCCCAGCCCTCGCGCGGGCCCGCTGCAGCGCCGGTCCGGGCGAAGAGCGGGTCGGGCGCTGGCTCACGACCTGCGCTTTTAGCCCCAGTACTGCCTGCTCCGGCAGCAGGAACGAGGAGCTTCAGAGCATTTTAAGAGCATGTTAATTGTCTTACGAATTCAGCCTCGCTTTCCTCGCCGCTTGAAGCCAAGGGAGGCCAGGCTACCCGCCTTTCCGAGCGGCTCCGCACCCGCGGCAGTGTCGGCTGCGGGGAGAACGGCCGTCGGCTCCGGCCGGGGGCGGCGGGCGGTACCGGGCAGCAGCTCCCGGGGGCCCGTGGCGGCGGCTGACCTAGTTTCGGGGAGCGGAGCGCCCAG